GCAACAAACAAGAAAGTAGGATGGTATATTTCGACTCACAAAGGACAAATGTCTCTCTTCTTTTTGATGTCCCAGTTGTCTGGCTTATCCAGTAAGAACCCTCTTCAAATCTCTGTGTCCTTGTAACACCATCCCAGTTATTTTTTAATATGTCCATACATTTGGGCAACAAGATGTCTCAAACTCCTTTTGACTGTCTTTTTCCCCTGCTGCAGAACTTGGAATCAATTACCCTCCACAGACACTTTCTTTAATGGAGAAGAAGACTCTTAGAGACCAAAATGGGAGCCATAGGGCTCCATGTCAAATTGTGTATGAGATGGTAGGCTGGCTGTGTAAGGCCACAGCCAGGCCTCTTTAATAACAACTGGATAAGAAATTCCTTTTATAAGTTCTTAAGTTTACAATGATTTATTTTTCTCTACATCACATCTTCCTAACAGTAGAAAAAACAGCCAACATGTATGTAGCTCCTACTGCATGTAGGCAGCGTTTTGCCCTTATGTGTAGTAACTTGTTCCATTATCACAAAAATCCCATAAGGCATATGTATTTTATATATAGGTAGGTATTTTCTATATATTTATATATAAATGAGAAGCTTTAGGCACAGAGAGGTTAAAAAGCTAATAAAAATGGCAGAGTGGGATTCAAACCCATGCATTTGTCCATATTCTTAAGATGGATGGATGAGGGTAAGGACTCCTAGAAGAGTTTCCAAATTCCCTGGTTCATTTCAGGCAGACATTTGGAAAGGAGGCGGACTGTGTATTAGCCCCAGACAAGTTCTAATGGTCCTCTTCCTTGGATATCAAATAATTGTTTACTATGTTCAATGTGACCTCATGGATAGAGGACCTAATTATCATCCCAGTTTCCTAAACAACAGCCTATCCCCCTGAAGAACTATAGCCTGGATTTGACCACCTAGCTGTTGCCAGGGGAGAATAAACACCCCTTTGTTCCTGCAGGTCATACTGACCTAGTAAGAAACCCGCAGGGGTTGGCTTTGTTTTTGAAGAGCTTTCTTCAGATAGAACTAGTTCACTGCCTCCACTGAGAGATGTGGTAAGGAATAAAACATTTAATGTGAAAGAAGAAGGCCTTCGATCTTTTCATACAAAAGATAATTTGTATGAAAGGCCTTTATCAACTGAGTAGATTTTATTATCATCATTGATCTCTAACCTCTAATCTCCTGCATTTTCTGAGAGCCCTTAGCCAACATCCTACACGCTATTATTTTTAATATGTTTGTATTTACCTCTTTGTACCTTGGGCTAATTATTATTATTATTATATTTCATTTTAACATCTATTTGCCTGTTTTTCTGAAATGTCTAATGAAAATAATTAACTATTAGTTGAAAGCTGAAATACGGAAGCAGGAAGAGTCAGCCAGTCACTGCTCTTGTGAGGGAAGGGGCCACCAGATCAGCCATTTGGAGATAGGTGTTCGATCAGTGACTAAGTGGAAACAGAAGTAGTAGCTAAAGGGTTAGGGGTGGCTGAGTTGGTTAGCTGGGCCAGGAGTCTCAACTATCTCATGAGGTCCTGAAGGATGTATCGGGATCTATACACATGGTACAGAGCCCAGTGATGGAAAGGTCAGGGAAATAAGAGCAGGTGTATGGATGGACCCAGCCATTGACTGGGGGGCTGCTGATAGTTACCCTATCCTGAGGTGTTATGTTCAGATTAACTCGTTTTATCTGTGAACAACATAGTCAAACGAATTCAGAATTACTTGATGCATTGATTCCTGTCTTATTATACATGCATGCTGGAGAAAACATCAGTTTCATATGAAGAATTACATGTACATATGTAGGTCAATACACCCCCCACACACACATTATTTATATAGGGATGGAAATAACTGACTTTGTACAAAATTCTGTAAATTTGGTTATGTAAATAATATATGCAAATCTATATATTTCATTCTAGAATACTCATAAAGTTCTAATTTGTGTAATAGAATGGGCTTTACAGTCTATTAAATGTGGCAGCTATGTTTTCAAAAGAAATAGTTTCTCACCAAGTTAATAATAATCAGATTTGAGTCTTAATAAGTAATTATAAACTTTTAGCAGAGAAAGGGCATCGGTCAGCAAAGCATATGATGCCATTTTTTTTCCGTCTTTTACCTTTGTAATAAGGCTTTTTCTTAAATTGCTTTCTGCCTTTCAAAATGGTAGCATTCGTGTTCTAGCAATAATTGTAAAGGTTTAAGTTATTATAAACTTTGAATATCAATTCTTCCCCTTCTGTGACAGTTCTATGACTAGGGAAGTCAGGCCTGCAAGGTCTAATTACTGCAGCGTTTTGATATCCCCAGCTACAATATTGGCAGGAATTTAAGCTATGGTAGAATTCATTGGTGACACCGTTGTAACTAAAAAGCCCAGAATCTGTTTCCAAGCTTGTTCAGGATGGAATCAAGTATTGGATGATGTCAAATAGTCCTGCTAAGTTCAGAAGTGCCTTGGATGATTCTAATATGAGATGCTAATTATTTGCAATAGAATGTAAATAAGGTGGCACTAAGTCTTATTTGCAGTGACTAATGAAAGCTGTTGTACTGTAATCAGTGAGATACAGAGCAACAGGGCAATTCATTAGGAAAACCATAGTTGACAAGCAGTTAATGCATGCTAGTCCGGACCTTTCCTCTTGCTTCTGTTTGCCTCTATTATTTCTCCTTGTTGATAATAATAAGTCCCATATGGAAAACGGATAACAAGGATAAGAAGAAAACTAGCAGCTAAATTTTGCCAACCTATGCCAAATATCTACAGACTGTAAGTCTTCCTTAGCTTTTCTTTGCCTATGAAGAACAACTGCCATATTAGGCTGATTGAAAATATAGTGATTTTCTAGTCAGCAAATTGCTAGTCTGAGAGTTTTTCATATGATCTCTCCAGACTTGAGCAAAACTTAACTATGCTGCAAATTATGTTATTTTCCAGATATATATTACATTTCAAAGTTAAGCCACATTTTCACTTCTCATACTTTAACAGAAGAGCACTTTTAACAAATAAAAACACGAAATTGCTTGATACTGCTCTCTTCTCTGCGTTATAGAGTACGTGCCTTGGTAAATAAAAGTTGAAACTCTGGAATAGCTTTTCTGCTCTGGGGCATATATTCATCACAGACAACAGTAGTGTAGGATACTACACTGCTTCTAAACTTGGATAGCCGAATTTCTAACTTCTGTAACTATTCAAGTAGCATGATCGTTATGTTTTATTCCCCACAGGTGGAAAAATTAGGAAGGTGATATGTTGTCTGTCATTTTTGGAACTGTTTCTTTCACTGGCCACCATAGAGGAAAGCCAGCTCATTTGATTCAATCAATATTGTACGATCCATCTCTTGTTTTAAAAGAATCTGAAGTGGCTTGTCTATTTAAAGGATGAAGAAGAAACTGAGAAGCAATACGGTGACTTATTTTTGAGCTTCCTGACAGCCAGGGGGAAGAAAGGAAGCAGCATGGTTATAGAATGCCAGAATGTGCGCTGCATCCCCTGGGGCAAGAGCGTATTTGGATCTAGGTTCAAGAAAGCAAAACCCAGGAAATAGCAAGAGTCTGAGGCCAATTAAGAGTTTCATTTATTCTTTATCTCCTGTTATATAAAATGCCATAAACTATGCACACTGAGCTCTTTGCTTCAGCCTGAAGTTGGGTATCTTAAATCCTTAGGAAACTCTGCAGCACCTAAGCTCAGTGTAAGAAGATCATCCTGCAGATGTAGTGCTTGCAAGGGGTTTTCCATAATTAAGATTGTTAGTTAAAACACAAGATGGGCAGTTAAATTTGAATTCCATATAAACAGTGAATACTTTTTTTAATCACAGTATGTCCCATAAATATTTTTTAAATATAACTATGTTCCAAATATTACATGGGATATACTGATACTAAAAAAGTATTCATTGTTTTTCTGAAACAGTTGTCAATCTGAAATTCAAATTTAACTGTTTTCATTTTTGTTTTGCTAAATCACACAACCTTACCCACAGCGGACAGGTAAACCTCACAAATTGTAATAGGCAACTGTCCCTTTATCACAAAAACCGAGAGCCCACAGTGACTGTCAATCATAGTCATTTTTTTTTCTCTTTTAACCCTTGTTAAAACTTTTTAACCTTTGTTTTAACCTTTGTTAAAAAGGTTAAAAAGGGCTAGATAGAAAGATCATTATTTTCTGACAAAGAGAGACTTAAAGAATCTTAAACAGTACATAATAATCAAACCAAAGAGTAAACGTTTATCGAGAGGCTTGAATATTTCGAGTGAGCTCTGGTTTGGTTAGGGGAGTACACGCATGTGTGCACACACGTTAAGTTTCCAGTCTAAAGAGCCAGAGAGAGAGTGGCAGCAGGAAGTTAGCCGGCTGCGTGGCAGGAGTGGATGTCGCATATCTCAGAACCCCATTGCCTCTAGGAACTAATGGGGGCTTGTAGCTTCCAGGACACTGCCCCAGAAGTAGTGACTCTAAGAAGATTGGTTCTTACTGCACTTACTGTTCTTTTATCCTTGGGGTTTTAAATCTTGGATATTACTTATACGAACAATCTGAACACTTGGTGTCAAGGGAATATTTTAAACATTGGCTTCCCTTGGTCTTTGGGTGCAGCTCAGTGTCACCCAGAGCACATCTTCATTTTGAGTTAGCACCCATGAGTCCCTAAACATTATTTCGGAGGGTGCCGTTCTCTATAGACTTTTAAACCGTGCATTGCCCTTCCTCTCCACTACAAATTGGAAATCCGTTTCTTGGAAACGGTGCATATATGCACTGGCGTATGTAGAGATCAGGATTCAGCTGCAAAGACCAGAATCCAGTTTTAGCGAAAGAGTATTTATAATGGCATATTAAGCAGAATACAGTCTCATTGGGATAAATGAAGAAACGATCTAGATTGAGCTTTGATAGGTAACCTCCAAAGCCATGATATAAGCACGTAATATAAGTTCTGTTATGCAGAATTGCCTGCTGCATTTTGGAAGCCGCTGCTTCAGCTGTTGGCTCCAGAACCTTGCTGCCGCTCCGACAGGAAGTCCCTGTGTGTGATCAGGGAGCAGCCATCATTCCCGCAAGCTGCAGAAGTGACCAGCGCGTGTTACTGTCTACGCCAGCAGAACACATAGCCATCTTCCTGCCTTGCAGCACCCACAAAGCTAGTAAGCAGATATTGGGAGCCCTGCTAATGCTATAAGAGACCTCCCAATGCTTCCAGTCACACTTGCAAGGAAAACCAGCAAAAACATGGCCTCTACCGGACTTCCAACTTACTAACCTTGAGCAATATGGAGACTGGCCAAGCCAAATCACATTCAAATGGCAAGAGGATCCTTGATGTGGTTTTTCGCTTTCCAGCCAAAACAGTACAAGACACTCCAGTGGGTGGTTAAAATGGACTGTTGAATGTCAGTGCACCATAACCAGGATGTATAACCTTGTTTACAAGTGGTAGTTACATCGTATTAATTCATCTGCACCCTACAGAAGGGAAAAATCAATAAAGGCCATGTCATAAGGATGTCAGATGCCTTTTGGAAAATGCTTCTGAGTTCCTTCTGTAAGATCATTATTATTTCCATCTATAGGTCATCTACCAATTCATGAACAATGGCAAGCATTTTTCTGGCCTTAAATTCCTAAGCACTTGGAATGCAGAACCTTTGACAGAGATAATTCCATGTCTTACTGGCAGTGTTTCACAACCGTTTTATATACAAGGTAAAGCTTCTCTATATGGTTGTGTCTTTATTCAGAAGCTGTTGCTGTCAAATGGTACCTGACTCCCGAAAGGACACAAGCAGCAGTACCATTGTGGCCGTTACTTTGAATGGGGCTCAGAAACTGATTTCGGAGTTAATCTACCTTGATGGGTTCTACTTTGGTTCCTCCAGACACAAGCAACTAACTTGATGGGACTGAATTTCCTTCTTTCCCTTTTTCACCTAGTTTGATGGCTGGGTTGATGCCAAGTGGCACATACTCAGATCCACTCTATTTTGTTTTGTTTATGTTAGAGCCATCTTTCTCACTGTCATTACCATTATTTTGTCAAATGGATGCAAAGTGGAAAGGTTCTTCAGGCAATGGTGGGAGGCAAATAGGTTAGAATTAGTGAGCGTCCAGAAATATTTGTATTTTACACCTGTTTTTTACCTTGGGATTTTCATTTTGTAGGAGAAACCCACATCATCAGCTCACCTAGTTTTTATACAGACATGGAAATGTTGACAAATAACTTCAAAAGAAACATGAGTTAACAGTTTGAGTATTGAAGTATGGTTCCTCCTTTTATATTACTTGAGGAACCATTGTTGTATAAAAATCACAGTGCAATAAATGCCATAAAAATCATCTTTATTTATCAAAATAACATTTATTACCAAGACATGAAAAATGAAACTGACAAAGTAAGTTACACATTCCTATCAATCTTTTGAAATTTTCATGGATTTGCTCAATAGAAAGGCCTTACTTGCAAATTCCATTTGAGCTAATCAAATTTTCATGTAAGCTGGTTATAATTGTTAACAGTACCTTTTGGGAAGATAGGTGATTTTTTTATGTATACATAGAAAAACAAAAAGGTATTATAGTGTAAATGTAAAATGTAAATCAAAATTCTTGATTTATGTAATGTTAAGGGTTATTTATGGAATTTTTTAGTATGAAAATTTTGTCAAGTGTACCTTTAGTAAGTTCTATTCTTCTGGATTGCTATAATAGAATAAAAATATTAGAAAAATAAAAATGAGAATTGGAGCTAAGTTCCTACCATTCTTCCTTAATAGTAAGTCTATGCCCCACCCCACATATTTTTTTAAACTTTCGCTTAGGACTAATACTAGTCAGTCAGTGACTACTTGCAGAGGAAAATGAGTTATTGGAGCAGATAAATCATTTGGCTTATAATGTTTGCTTACTGGCTTAAATAACTACCAATAACTGTTCTGCTAAGCTTCTACTCAAAAATCCTAGTCTTTTTTCTCTGTGTTTGTATCCTGTCTTCCTCACACATTCAGTTTTATAGATTACTGTCAGGTACATTACAGAGGAGAGCACTTGCAACGGTAACGTATTTTCTGGCATCTTAATCATTCAACCAGCATTTCTGAACACCAACCACATGCAGAACCCCTGACTAGTTGCTCTTATTATGAAGGTGAATATAATGGCTCCTGTCTTAATATACTTAGAAGTTTTAAGAAGAATCCTTGAGGTTTGTATCACATTGCCCATATTTATTAAAATATCTATATCCAGATTTTTATGAACTCTTTTCAGAGAATAAACTTAAATATTTTCATTAAACAATAACAATTTCTAATATTTCAAAGTTTTCTTAATTTTTTAGAATGTTTTCTAATTAAGTATAATTTAATGTCGACCAAGCAATTCACATGGTTCAAATTGAGATTTTTAAAAGAAAATACAGTGAAAAATCCCTCTCTTCTCCCTGTCCTCCAACCAGCCAGTTTCCCTTCCCCAGCGAAAATGAATGTTGGCTTGGGTTAGGTTCAAGTGCATATAAAAGAAAACTCACATATCATTGACTTAAATACTTAAAACAGAGTAGTTCTACAATGCCATCAGGGATTTGGATTTCTTCTGTCATTTTTGTATGCAGCTTTATAACTTTATTTGACAATCAGTGGTTAGTTCTCATCCACAGTGACTGTATATTTTTGAAGGTGAAGACAGGTAAATAGGTAGCCAACATACAGAGCTTGTTTGGTGAATCTTCATCCTCACTATCTTTTCTGGACAATCACACATGGATAACCATATAGGAGCTTCCTGTTCCTTTGGCCCAGGCAGCTTTGTTGAGCCTGGTCTCCGTGTGCACATCTGGATTTTCCATCTCCTTCACGGCAAATTTCCAAATTCTTTGAACGCCCAAGGGGCAGGCTTGCGAACATCGATGATGTGTTCGCCGGTCACCACCTCACTGATGATGACAGGCACAACCCTCCTCACCATCTTTCTTCATGGGAGCCATTCTGTCAGGCCTAGGTTAGAAAGGACAAAAATGAGGGATTGTCCCTTTCTGTCTTTATCTCTCTCCTTTAGCTTCTAATCTCAAGCCTGCCTCTTGGTCCATTTTGGCTACTGGAATGCCATCTGTCATGTCTGTATTCCAGGGAGGGGAAAAAAGCCAACAAGAGCCAAATGGCATGGCTTGGTAAAGAGCTTTTTCCAACACCCAGAAGAGGAGATGTAGGGAGACGTTCCAATCTCAGGGGACTTCATATGAAAGGATTGCCTGTAGGGGCACCTGGGTGGCCAGGTCGTTAAGCATCTGCCTTCAGCTCGGGTCCTGGTCCCAGGGTCCTGGGATCGAGCCCCGCATCGGGCTCCCCACTCAGCGGGAAGCCTGCTTCTCCCTCTCCCGCTCCCCCAACTTGTGTTCCCTCTCTCTCTGTGTCTCTCTCTGTCAAATAAATAAAATCTTAAAAAAAAAAAGAAAGAAAGAAAGAAAGGATTGCCTATAGTGGGAAGGCCATGAGCAGCGGGACAGAAAGCAGTACCTGCATTGGAATGTCACCAGAGACAATGGTGGCCGACGACGGGCTTCATTTATTTAACCAGTTTGCCTAGGCTCAGCTTTTTTTCATAACTTCCATGTTTCATAGCTTGCCATTTAATCCATTCTTCATCAAAGCAGAGTGTCTTATTAAGTAAAACTTTACCTAAAAATAAGAAACAGATCTAACGTCAAGTATTGTATTTGATAGCTGTCTTCCCTAAGTTAAAATGTAGCTTCTTATATATACTTTGGTCCAGCTCCAATTACACACGTACCTGTGTCCCACTTCACTAATACGCTTTTTCAAGCAAGACATTTTATTGTATGGCTTAATTTCAAGGGGAAAAAAAATATTCCGGAAAGAAGGAATAATATGAGGTATGACAAAAAAAAGAGCAGTCTGCTGTGTATTTGTGCTAAAAACTGTGAGGGCTTTTTAGAGACATGCATTTCCTTCCCAGAGGCTCCATGAGCTAACCCTCAGGAAAAGGAATGGACTGGCAGTGGTCCTACAGGATACTTACTTCAGGCCTGGATTCTGAATATATTTTCTTTATATAAATTACCAGTAGAGTTGGGGGAAAAAGCTTTTTTTGAGATGGCAGTGTCACTAAAATATATGAATGTGAAGTATCTATTACTTCTCACAGAAACCTTCATAAAACATATGGAAATCTGTTCTTTAATCTGTTTTCTTTTTTCAACTTTATTAAGGGATAATTGATAAATAAAATTGTAAGGTACTTAAAGTATACAATGTGGTGACTTGATATCTGTGTATTATGACAGAATTCCCCCACTGAATTAATTAAAACATCCATCAGTTCACGTATTTACTTCCCCCCCCCAACTTTTTTGGTAAATAATTTTAAGATTTACTCTTCTTAGCAAATTTCAATTCTACAGTATAGTGGAATCAACTTTAATCACCATGTTATACATTAGATTCTCAGGCCTTATTCCTTCTATTACAAAGTTTGTACCCTCTTACCAGCTGCTCCCTGTTTCCCCCATTCTCCAGTGCCTGGCAACCCCTTTTCTGCTCTTTGTTTCTAGGAGTTTGGTGGTTTTTCAATTCCACACATAAGTGAGATCATTCAGTATTTGTCTTTCTCTGTCTGGCTTATTTCATTTAGCATAATGCCCTCCAGGTTGTTCACTCATGTTGTTGCAAATGACAGGATTTCCTTAGTTTTTTTTTAAGGCTAATAGTCCATTTTGTGTGTGTGTGTGTGTGTATACATTATAAAATGGAATATGTGTATGTATATACATACCCGCATGTAAAAAGGACTATTATTCATATATATATCACACTTATTGATCCATTCATCATTCACTAATGGACACTTACATTGTTTCCATTCCTTGTCTATTGCGAATAATGCTGCAGTGAACATGAGAGTGTAGATATCTTTTCAAGATAATGGTTTCATTTCCTCTCTAATCTTTTTGATAATTGAAAACCAGCTCAAAGTGTTACTCTTTTGGAATACAGCCTACCAAAAGGATTTAACAAATAACAATTATTTTATAAAAATAGTATTACTTGTTTCTGCCTTTCTCAACATTTCCCTATCAAAAATGTCTCAATTATACATACTGTATGGCATTAATATGTGTTCATTTTAAGATATATTATTAGAAGACATTACCATTTGACTTTGGAAACTTGCTTATGATGGTCTCCTTTCTGCCTAGTATCATCCTAAGAGGGATATCAGATTAAGCTAATTTATTAAGCACTTAACATTCAGTAGCTATGAATAGGATTAGGTAGTCTGTTTTATTTAGGCCACTTTGGTGTTTATAATGCTTTTCCTTGAATAAAAGCACTGTCACTATTTCTGAAAATTTGAATGGGTTGTCAAGTGCTAAATGGATTTAAATTTTTTTTTTTTTTAGTTATTCAATAGATTTCAGAACAAGAGGAATTTAGCTTTTTTAATTACAAGGACATATCATAGTACCTTCTCTAAAGGTTTAGGATATTATTAGGGTTGTTTATGTTCTGTGATATTCTTTTTAAACAGAGGAAAGTAAAGTGTGGGGTCTTTCCTCACCACGTGCAGCATGGTATCAGGAAGGTGGCCAACAGCATGACCTTGGCCTTTAAGCCCATTTCCTCAGTGTAAAACTGTAATAATAGTTCCAACCCTGAATGGTTGTTACGAGTTTGAAAATGAATTGATATCTAAAAGGACCTGGCTTGTGCCTAGTATATACTAGTTCAGTAACCATTGATTTTTCTTTCTTTCTAATGTTAAAATTTCATGTTGTGTGTTTAGTGATCTCTGTAGAGATGATTAGAGATAAAAAGTTCAGTAGGGACATATAAGATTGTCTATTTTAATAACTCTCTCTTCTTGATGTGGAGCTCCAAAGCTAGTGCTTTGGAAGATTTATCCTCCTATACCTGTAATTCTCTTGGTTGCTACCGTATCAAGGTTGGCAGTGTTGGGGTAGGTTGGTGGTTAAGTGGGAAAGTCACCAGTGTTTTTCTTGCATAGGAACCAAAAAACAATATCATCATGGATTTTTTTTTCAGTTCTGCAAATATATTCTTATTGGATAATATCCATTTAAAACCTAACGATAGGCACATGGCTAGAAAGTAAGATTTCTCCCTAAGAGTCTGAGTGACTGGTCAGACTGTAGACACTTGGCCTTGGTTGGACCAGAACGAGTGGGCCATTGGGTGACAAATTAATGCAGGACTTGGAACTAGACAAAACAATAGAGACCACAAGTTCCTGCCACCGTGGATCACTGGTTGGCACTGAAGGCGACTGGCTGACAGATGGCTATCCTCTGTGCAGACTGTTAACTAGGCCGCTGAGAAAATACTTAAAGTGTTTACAGCTTAAATCAATGCATCTGGATTAAAAACTGAAAATATAAAAGTTGTACTAATATGTTAAAAATTTTTAACATTTTAATAATAAGATTTTTTAACTGTTTCATGAACTTAGAGTAGTTATGAGATCATTGTAAACTTACTGTTGTTGTTTTTTTTCTCCTAAAATTATACTAGCCCTCATCAGCCCTCGGTTTTGATTCCTCTTTCAAATATCAACTCTCCTGGAGTGTTCCATTATAGATCTTTTGATGTGTTTTGAATGATGTGTTTTGAAGGTAGTATGTGCGTGCTTGATACACACTGTTCTGTGTTTCTGCAGCATCTTGTGATCGTTCCCATAGTGTAGAAAATTTTAAGGATAAAAATTAAATGACAATTTTTTATTATCATTACCTTTTATTTTTCAGTAGAAACGCCTGTCACTGTGGTCAGGTCACATGAAGGGATGCTGGAGTAATAATGGGCATTGCGAAGCAGTCAAGTATTCCCTGGTTGGTAGACAGTTCATCTCATTTAAAACAGAATTCATGGGGTGAATATATTTTATAATAATTCTGTCAGACCCCCTCATTTTATGTATTAAGGAACCTAATAGAGGGAGTATAAAATCAAAGAGCAGGTTTCAAATCCAGCCTCAATCACTTAGAGTGTGACCTTTTTTGAGTTATTTAAGCTAGCTTAAGTTCAGTTTCATATTTGTAAGATGGAGATAACAACTATAATATCAACTTCAAACGGCTTTTATGAGCACTCGAAGCTATTCGGATGTGAAGGGTTTAGGATGTCGCCTGGCACCGGGCGCATCCCCAGGAGGGGCACCTGTATTTTTGTTGTCGACATCATCTTCATTATCATTTCTTTTGAATTAACATTTCTTATATGCCCCAGCCCAGCATTATTCCTGTGACTATGAGAAAGATGGAATCATGAATATTCATTTTAATATAAAAATTGTCATCAAAATATTAGTATGTCCATAACCAACTTCTTGCAATACATAACTAAAGATATCTGTTAAATGGCATTTGTGCATTTAGATTTTAATTATAATTGGCATTCATACGGCTGGTCCACTTAAAAAACTTTTTTTAAACTTACTCTTACCCTATTGCAAAGAGTAGTCTACCAAGTGCTTGGTGATATCATTACATTCTTGCACACCCTGAAAAATGTTTACGTGCGAGCAGGTGCTGTGTACTTCCACTTACATAACTTATTTACTTCTCACAATAAATGCAGCAGGTGAGGATTATGATCGTCATCTTCGAGAAAGAAAATATTGGTCTCAGCTTCTAGGGCTTGTTCAAAGTTACACCTGGTCTTGTGTCACTGGGTCACTATTAATTTCATTAAATCGCCTCTACTTTCCGAAAGTGCTATAATTGGGACAAACTGTGGGAATTTCTTCTCTGTGAACTGGGGAACAGATTTGTTTTCTCATACCCTCCTCTAATCAGGTGCCATATCCGGAAGATTTTGCCTTCATGAGGTTTCTTTAGAACCCTCAAAAACATAATGCTATAGAACAGATGCATTAAACAAATATTTGATTACCTACCATGTGCTGGGAACTTGGCTAATAAGCAGGAAATTTGTGACTTCTTCTTGAGGTGAATTTTGAATAATCCTTTGAGGGCAGAGAAAATGATATGCCCTCATTAACATCTAGATAATAGATGGCTCTGTAATAAATGGTAACAAATGCCTGCTCACCAAAAACATTTTTCTTATAAAATTGAGCTGTATGTTACTTGCTAGCAAATGGAATTGCATACTCTCCATACCCCCAGCCAGCTCCC